TCCAAAACTTGAGGGGATTTCTCTGTCTCAATAACAGAGATGAAGGGTCAGATTAACAGAGTTGGAAGGGACCTTATAGGTCCGTGATGGCGAACCTATGGCACGCGTGCCACAGGTGGCACGTGAAGCCATATCTTCGGGCACACGAGCCGTTGCCCTAGCTCAGCTCCACCGCGCATGCATGTGCCGGCCACCTGATTTTCCGGCCTTCCGGACCCACCAGATGTTGGGAAACGGGCTGTTTCTGGCCTCTGGGGGGGTGGGGAAGGCCATTTTTGCCTTCCCCAGGCTCCTAGAAAGCCTCTGGAGCCTGGGGAGAGTGAAAAATGGGCCTTCCGGTTCCATTGGAAGTTGGGAAAAGGGGCCATTTCCAGCCTCAGGAGAGACTCCAGGGGACCTGGGGAAGGCCGTTTTCGCCCTCCTCAGGCTCCTAGAAAGGCTCTGGAGCCTGGGGAGAGTGAAAAAATGGGCCTTCCGGTCCCACCATACCATCGTGTGCCAATAGCAGGGGGAGCGTAGGGTAGGTCACACATGCACGTGGGGCGGGACGTGTTGAATTATGGGTGTGGGCACGCGCGCGCACAACCCCCCTGCACTCCCCCCGCTTTTGGCACGTGATGGCAAAAAGGTTAGCCATCACTGTTATAGGTCATCTAGTCCAACCCCTCCCCCCCCCCACCCAAGCAGGAGACCCTACACCATTTCTGACAAATGGCAGTCTAATCTCTTCTTGAAAGTCTCAAGTGATGAAGCTCCCACAACTTCCGAAGGCAACTTCTGTTCCATGGGTTGATTGCTCTCACTGTCAGGAAATTCCTCCTTATTTCCAGGTTAAATCTCTCGTTGTTCACAAACTAGTTAACATCATCATTGCTAGCACCGATCACTAGCACTGATGATGTTAGTTAGTTGGGTAATGAAACGTTTGCAAGAAAACAACCAAGCTCAGGGAGCATCAAGGACCCTCATTTCAACCCTGAGCTACAGATAATTTCCTTTATTGGCAATAATGGAGAGTTGGGACAAGACAAAGGATCTTCACAGGGACCATCCCAAAACTATGAAAGCTTTGAAAAAACCAATATTAGCAGCCTCTCTTCAGGTAACCCCCAATTTTCTTCCCTGGTTCTCTACACTATTAAAAAGGCCAGGTGGTTGTTGATGAAAAGCAAAGAGACTTCTGCTGAGCATCATGGAGAAATGCATTGAACATGTCTTGGCCTACCACCCCACACATCAATCGATCTTAGCTTCTCGTATCCCACGCCCACCCTGAAAAACGTTTAGTTCCTATTGTCAAACAGGTTGGACAATGTACGTATGGCAGGAAGCCTCTTCTATGCTTAACTCACATTTGCTTCCGCACGATGTTAGTGCTCCCATCCACTCTATTTCGTGGTGGACAATTTACGCAGATGGACCAAACCCAGCCCATCGTGGTCGTTCGGTTCCACAAACCTTGGTAGTACAGTAGTCTAAAGCACCCTGTCATTAAGACCAGCTGCCTGCAATTACTGCAGGTTCGAATCTCGCCAGGCTCAAGGTTGACTCAGCCTTCCATCCTTTCTAAGGTAGGTAAATTGAGGACCCAGTTGTGGGGGCAATAAGCTGACTTTGTATAAATATACAAAAGGATTGAAGGCTATTGCTTAGCACATTGTAAGCCGCCCTGAATTTCCTTAGAAGGGCGGCATATAAATCAATTTAAAAAAAAAAAAAACATTTCAACAAACGGGCGCCTTAGCCCCACATCTAAAACTAACACTGAGCTGATTCATGAAGTGTTTATGTAGTTCAGCTGGCACCACCGATTTAACGATGTGAGACAGGAAGTTTGGGGAAAGTCCCTAAAGCGCGAACCATAAAGTAGCAAAAGCTTGGGGGAAATTCCAGACAGCTAGAAAGAGAGGAGAGGCACCTTAAACTAAGAAAAAACGACCCCAAATGACCCAATAATATATAGGCACGCTGCAGTCACGGAATGCCGACTGCCTGAGGTGTTGAAAAAAGATGGAAAGCATACAGAATGAGCATCTACATAAATAAGTAAGAAGACCCTGGCTCAGCCCATTTGTTTGGGGCCCTCGCAGAGTGGCACGCAACAGCTGGGGGCTGTTTACCCCCTTGAAGACCCTCCCCTGTCTTTTTCACTGCAATGATTTCGTGCTTCTTTTAACCGCCTCCAAGTGGGATACAATATTGACATGGTTTTTATTCATTCATTTATAAAATGTATTAGCCACCCGTCTTTCAAGTTCGAATCGCACACCACCCAGAGTTGCTCTGAGTGAGTGAGATGGGCCGTCTCCACATTTACTAAGTACAGGCAGTCCTCTACTTAATGACGATACTGTTAAGCAGGACAGATGTTGTGAAATGAGCTTTGCCCCCATTCTACGACCTTTCTGGTCCCCATTGTTAAAGTAATCCCTGCAATTGTTCAGTTAGTAACACGGTCGTTAAGCGAATCTGGCTTCCCCGTTGACTTTGCTTGTTGGTAGGACACAAAAAGTGATTGCATGACCCCGGGATACTGCAATGGTCATAAACGCATGCCCGATGCCAAGCATTCGAATTTTGATCATGTGACTATGGGGATGCTGCAACGGTCATAAGTCACCATTTTCAATGCCGTCGTAATTTTGAACAGTTGCTAAATAGCCATAAGTCGATAAATAAATCTTGGAAGTTGCATTAACAGAGGGATACAATCAAGATCAAGGGAGGTACTAATACCACTCTATAAAGCTTTAGTAAGATCACACCTGGAGTACTGCATCTAGTTTTGGTCACCACGCTATAAAAAAGATGTTGAGACTCTAGAAAAAGTGCAGAGGACAGCAACCAGGATGATTAGGGGATTGGAGACTAAAACACATGAAGAACGGTTGCAGGAACTGGGCATGGCTAGTCTAGTGAAGAGAAGGACCAGAGGAGATATGATAGCAGTCTTCCAATATTTGAGGGGCTGCCACACAGAGAGGAAGAGGTCAAGCTATTTTCCAAGGCACCCAAAGGCCAGACAAGGAATAATGGATGGAAACTGAACAAGGAGAGATTCAATCTAGAAATAAGGAGAAAATTTCTGACAGTGGGAACAATCAACCGATGGAACAGAAGTTGCCTTCGGAAGTTGTGGGAGCTTCATCACTGGAGGCTTTCAAGAAGAGATTGGACTGCCATTTGTCAGAAATGGTATAAAGTCTCCTGCTTTGGGGGGGGGTGTTGGACTAGATCAGGGGTCTCCAACCTTGGCAGTTTTAAGCTTGGCAGACTTCAACTCCAGGCTTAAAGTTGCCAAGGTTGGAGACCTCTGGACTAGATGACCTACAAGATCCCTTCCAACTCTATATCTGTATCAGCACAGCTGGATCAGAATCCCAAGTAGGGACATTCCCCACTACCAAGAGTTTTTTTTTTTTTCCCCTTCTATTAGTCTCTTTTCTTTGTTTCTTTGCGGATCACACCCTAGTTGGCAGCTGTCCCCTACCATCTTGAGTAGCCTCCAAAGAATTTAGCAGTTTTTATATTCCTGAATCGGGCATAAATCAGAGTTGGGGGCCCTTCATAAATGTCAAACAGCTGCGGGCAGCCTGGGATATATTAGGTTTGTTAACCGGTAAAAGTGAGGCCGCTGGAGGAGCAGCTGCAGTAACATGAGTCAAAGATTTTTTTTTTTTAAATAACGGTGAATTCCGTCTGGCCAGGGGTTTTCAACAAACGAACCACTCAACCACTCGCTTACCTTTTTGTTTAGCAATCTATTATACGACAACTCATAATAAGTCTTGGCCTCCCTTTGGCTGAGCTCTCCCTAGCAAATTCCTCACAAAACTTTTCGAGGGTCTAGCAAATTGGACTACCAGGGTGGACTTTCCCACAAACATCTCCAAGAGGTTATCCAATAATCCGAACAAGGATTCTTTGGAAGATGTTCATCTGAGCTGATGGGAGGAAATAAGCAGGGGGAGGAAAAAAACCCACAGAAACAGCTGGAAACGTTCTTTTTCCAACTCAAAAAAACCCCTCAAAAACCTCCATTTCCAGAGAAAAGGAAGGCAGGGGGGAAAGAAACAATTCTTGCAAGATCTCTTAACAGGAAAGAGGAACCTGAATCTTCTTTTCCCCCCGCTTCCCCCCCCCCCCCATTGTCAGCGGCTCCATTGCTGTCATTTGACCTGATTTGGAACTGGGAAATGGATTGCAAAGCGAAATGCTATAAATAAACCCCTGAGCCCTTACAATGTTGTGTACCAAAGACCAAGCAAAAAAAAAAAAACCAAAAAAAAAACCCCTGCAAAACCCAGAAATCCGTGTTCATACTTGCAAATAAATAAATAAATAAAATCATCCCCCCCCCCCCACGGAATTGCTTTCCTTGATGCTTTTACCCTGCAATGTTGTTGTTGTTGTTTTTTTGCTGGCTAAATTAAGAGGGAAAAGGGGTGAGTGAGTGAGCAGCCCCCTAAACCTCCAAAGCTGCTTATGGAAACACACAAATATTGTGTCTCTCTCTTTGCCCACCCTATGGAGTAAAAACTCCACTCAATCCATCCATCCAAACCCCACATTTCCTTCGTTTTTTGTTTTTTGTTTTTTTTTTAGGAAACAAACAAGAATAGTGCCCCCAAGTCCACTATAGGAAAGGCGGGGTGGGGAGTGGGGGAAATCCAATGATCGACAGCAATCATTCTTTCCTATTTTTATTCTTGTCTTGTCAACCTTCGGTCTCTGGGGATGCTATCGAAGCGTGCAGAACGTAGCAACGATGCCTTTTATCAAAGAGGCATCCAAACTACAGCGAGATGCGTTCTTCTTCTTTTTTTAAAAAAAATGTTATTTTAATTGTTATTCTTTGCATGGGGAGGTTGGTTTGGCTCCCTCTGTTTTGTGCATTGGGGGGGGGGGGCAGATCGCTTGCACCGGCCAGCAGTTTGCACCGCTGTCAGCATCTCTCACCAGTGTCCCCCCTTGCCCCCCCTTCGCAAGTCTTACAGTACCTTCATCTTGACAGCAAAATCCACTCCGATTTCTGCAAGCAGGCGAAGAGAGATTTGGAGGGGAGAGAGAGAGATCTCTTTTTCTTCTTCTTCTTTCTTCTTCTTCTTGAGGGATCTCTACAGGAGTGCACAGCTGCAGCTGGTGGAGGCAATCCTCCTCCTCCTCCTCCTCCTCTTGGTTCCTCAGCAGCCTTGGCGGACCGGAGCGAAAGCAGCAGCAGCAGCAGCAGCAGCAGCAGCCGAGGATCCGACACGTTGCAACAGCAGCAGCCGCCGCGAATGAAGAAGCTTCCTCGCAGCGCGGAGAGCCCAGCGACCCAGGCTCTCGGGTTGCATCACTTGGCAGGAAGAAGCGGCGCTTTCCCTCCAAGCTCCGCTAGGGGCAGCAAAAGGGGCGGAGGGAAAGAAACGAAGGGGAGTGGGGGGTGGGGGTGGAGAAGAACTTTCGGAAGGCGAAGGCGCGCTCTCATTGGTCGGCTGTTGCAAAGCGAGCTGGAAGGCGAAGGAGAAACGGCGGAGCGGGGTTTCACGTGGCTGCCGAAACGAGCCTTCTCCCGGTTTTGACAAACCGGGAGGGAAGAAGAGAAGAGGTGATAATGTTAAGGCGATTAGAACCTGGCTTTATTCACCAACGATGGAGAGAAGAAACCGATGATGGTGTTTTTTTAAGTCGATTTAGTCACTAAATCAAGGATTCCATCAATCTGGCTTCCCGCTGGCGTTTTATGTGAGGATACAGACCCCTCACATGATGAGGGGCCTGGAAGCTAAACCCTATTTTCATTTTCATTTTATTAAATTTGTATACCGCCCTATTCCCGAAGGACTCAGGGCGGTGAACAGCCATAAAATAAAACATATAAATACAAAATTTAAAATAGAATAAAACAGATTAAATAATTTGGCTGAATTTTAAAACCCCAATAATTTAAAACCAAATTTAAAATGTCCATTTAAAAAGGGGAAAAAACTTAGGTCAGGCCAGCTTGATGAAATAAGAACGTCTTGAGCGCGCGACGGAAGGTGCGCAGATTCAGGATCCTCCGTATCTCCGGGGGGAGCTCGTTCCAGATAGTAGGTGCCCCCACAGAGAAGGCTCTCCCCCTGGGGGCCGCCAGTCGACATATGAAGAACGGTTGCAGGAACTGGATAGGTCTAGTTTAATGAAAAGAAGGACTAGGGGAGACAGGATAGCAGTGTTCCAATATCTCGGGGGATATACCACAAAGTAACAGAGTTGGAAGGGATCTTGGAGGTCATCTAGTCCAACCTTCCTGATCGACAAGCTCAGTGTCTTAGCCGCTGAGGAGAGGGAGTCAAGCTATTCACCAAAGCACCTGAGGGGAGGACAAGAAGCAATGGGGGGGGGGAACTAATCAAGGAGAGAAGCAACCTAGAACTAAGGAGAAATTTCCTGACAGAACAATTAATCAGTGGAACAACTTGCCTCCAGAAGTTCTGAATTCTCCAACACTGGAAGTTTTTAAGATTTATTTATTTATTTATTTATTTATTTATTTATTTATTTATTTATTTATTTATTTATTTATTTATTTATTTATTTATTTATTCAATCTAATTTTTTATACCGCCCTTCTCCCAAAGGACTCAGGGCGGTTCACAGCCAAGATAAAACAAACACATATATAAAATTTAGAAACAATTTAAAAACATATTAAATAATTTGGCCCCGACATCATTAAAAACAAAAAAAAGCAACCCATTAAAATTAATGTTTAGGCCAGCCCAGCTTGTTGGAACAATAAAGTCTTGACGGCACGGCGAAAGGTGCATAGGTCAGGGATCATCCGTATCTCCGGGGGCAATTCATTCCAGAGGGCGGGTGCCCCCACAGAGAAGGCTCTCCCCCTGGGGGTGACCAGTTGACAATGTTTGACCGACGGTACCCTGAGGAGTCCCTCTCTGTGGGAGCGTACTGGCCGGTGAGAGGCTATCGGTAGCAGAAGGCGATCTCGTAAGTACCCAGGTCCTAAGCCATGGAGCGCTCTAAAATGGTAACCAACACCTTGAATCACACCCGGAAGACCACCGGGAGCCAGTGCAGCTCGCGCAGGAGAGGTGTTACATGGGAGTGCTGTGTCGCTCCCATAATCACCCGCGTGCTGCATTCTGGACCAGATGGCGCCTCCGGGTGCTCTTCAAGGGGGGGGGCATGTAGAGAGCATTACAGTAGTCCAGACGGATACTGATGTTGGATAATCATTTGTCTGAAGTGGTGTAGGGCAGTGGTGGCGAGCCTTTTATTCACCGAGTGCTGAACAGGTACATACTTCGTGTGCTTTGGGTGCAAGTGTGCCATCCGCGCTAACATGCAGCTCCTCCATGCGCTAGTGCTCAACCACACCATCTGTGCATGCGCATAGCTTTCACACACCCCCACTGTGCACACAATCGCACCATCTGCGCATGCGTGCAGGTTTCATGCGGCTTCCCCGTGCGCTCTGCATGCACATATGCGTATGCGCATAGTTTTCACACACACAATGCATGTGCACAAACACCATCTGCGCATGCACATGCTGTGCACCAGTACTCATGCGCATGTGCAAATGAGCCTGCATGCGCAGGAGAGCTCCAAAGACCAGCTGAGTCCCCTGAATTGCACACATGCGCACCGGAAGCCCAAATACCAGCTGGGGGGTGCGCACATGCGCAGCTGCAGGTGAGTTGGACGACAGCTCGCGTGCCCGGAAAAATGGCTCTGTGTGCCACTTCCGGCACTCGTGCCATAGGTTCGCCATGATGGGTGTTGGGTTTCCTGCCTAAGCAGGGGGTTGGACTAGAAGACCTCCAAGGTTCCTTCCAACTCTGTTATTCTATTCTATCCTGGACATAAATTGCTTCAACTTCTACCCCCCAAAACGACGCTGTAGGGCACTGCACACCAGAACAACTAGACGCAAGGACAGCTTTTTCCTCGAATGCCATCCCTCTGCTAAACAACTAATTCCCACAACACTGTCAAACGATTTACTAAGACTGTATTACTATTATTCTTCTCATCCTTCCTGGTACTACCTCTTCCCACTTAGGACTATAACCATGTTGCCTGCATCTTTACAATTTATATTCTTTTATTTGTTTCCTAGTACAATTTGATTACTTATTAGTAACCTATGACTATCACTAAGTGTTGTATCTTATGATTCTTGATGGATGTATTTTATTTTTCTTTATGTACACTGAGAGCCTAGGCACCAAAGACAAATTCCTGGTATGTCCAATCACATTTGGCCAATAAAGAATTCTATTCTATTTTATCTATTCTATTCTGTGGTTTGCCAAGCAGACCACATTGGCTGCGTTCACACAAACAGGCTGAGTTTTACAACCAGATCGGTTGTGTTTTGCCTTAGGTCAGATGTATAAATCTAGTCCGAATATTTGGACTGCCTTATCCTGTCTCCTAAAGATCAGAATGATTCAAGCAATGATATTATTCCCGGTGGTGCTGTATGGAAGCCCAAGTGGGATTTTGAAGAAGTTGGGTGGAAAGAATATCGGTCCTTTTGAAGATTGGTGTTGGAGAAGACTCTTGAGGGTACCATGGACAGCTAAGAAAATGGATGGTGGAACAAAAACCCAGACTTTTCATTCAAGACACAAATTATCAGGTTCAAAATGATCATGGTTTGGACATGTAAGACACAGTTCTCTGGAGAAGGTTGTAATGGTAGGGAAAGTAGAAGAGGACAATCAGCGGAAAAGTGGATGGATTCAATCACAATGGTCATGGGTGCATTGTTGGAAGACGTGAAGGACTAGGATGTAGGTCTATCCTCCTCGGAGGAAAGCTCTTCCAAAGAAGTCTATGGAGATTCTCAGTCATCCAGGTCATGGTTGTCCCAAAGGTGCTTTTTCAAGAGGCAACTGGACTTTCTGTATTTTTTCTCTTGAAGACATTTCACTTCCCATCTAAGAAGCTTCTTCAGCTCTGACTGGATGGTGGATGGTGGGGAATGGGAGGATTTATATTCCTTGCAGAGAGCTGGTCATTTGCATTTTTTCAGAGAGTCACTGAGGCCGCTTGGAGGTTTATCTGTGTCTTCAGGACTTTCACCACTTGAGTGGTGAAAATGGGTATGGAGTCTTCTTGAAACAGCTGAAAGGATTGTGTTGTAGACTGGAGACAGATGTCATATCCTTCCCCCTCTGTTGAGAGAGGGCTGTTCAGGTGACCCTGACTATGCAGATAAACCTCCAAGTGGCCTCAACAACTCTCTAAAATAATGCAAATGACCAACTGTCTGCAAGGAGTATAAATCCTTCACCATCCAGTCAGAGCTGAAGAAGCTTCTTGGATGAGAAGTGAAACATCTTCAAAAGAAAAACCAGAAAGTCTAGTTGCCTCTTGAAAAACTTAATCTTTCGGACTCTCGCTAAGAATCAACACTGACTTGATGATGCATAATCAATTTTTTAAAAAATGATTACAACTTTTTTCTTTTAAATCAATCTCCTAATCAGTTGTCCATCTTCACCTGGCATCAGAGATGGATGTATCTCAAAGCGGTTTTCTTCTTAGAGAGAAATATACCCAAAGTTCATCCATTATGATGAACTCTTGTTTTGGCTAGCTATATTTTGTTGCTTGTATCCTTACGATTTATATTGTTTTCTGATTGCTTATTTGTACCCTATAATTAAGTGTTGTACCTTATGATTCTTGACAAATGTATCTTGTCTTTTATGTACACTGAGAGCATATGCACCCAGACAAATTCCTTGTGTGTCCAATCACACTTGGCCGATAAAAAAATTCTATTCTATTCTATTCTATTCTATTCTATTCTATTCTATTCTATTCTATTCTATTCTATTCTATTCTACTCTACTCTATTCCACTCCATTCTACTCTACTCTATTCCATTCCATTCTATTGCATTCTACTCTACTCTACTCTACTCTACTCTCTACTCCATTCCATTCCATTCCATTCCACTCCACTCCACTCCATTCTATTCTATTCCACTCCACTCCACTCCATTCTACTCTACTCTATTCCATTCCATTCTTCTATTCCATTCTACTCTACTCTACTCTACTCTGCTCTGCTCTGCTCTGCTCTACTCTACTCTACTCCATTCCACTCCACTCCATTCTATTCTATTCTATTCCACTCCACTCCACTCCATTCTACTCTACTCTATTCCATTCCATTCTTCTATTCCATTCTACTCTACTCTACTCTACTCTACTCTACTCTACTCTACTCTACTCTACTCTCTACTCCATTCCATTCCATTCCATTCCATTCCATTCCATTCCATTCCACTCCATTCTATTCTATTGACGTGACTATTGCTA